TTGTCGAGATTCACTTGAAAGATTTGAAGGAGGTCAATCCCGTCGTGTATTCGACATTATAACTCGTGACGAATCATGGTTCTATCATTATGATCCAACAACGAAAGAGCAATCAAAAGTTTGGGTGTCACAAACTGATCCGCGACCAACCGAAGTTCATCGATACGAAAGTTCAGGCAAGCGAATGGTGCCGATTTTCTTCATGAAATCCGGTTTAATCAAGTCTATACCATTAGAACGTGGTGAAACGGTAACAAAGAGATGGTATGTCGATAGCTGTCTACCACAAGGCTTCGAAACAGTATCGGAATGGCGACAAAAGACTGGTCTTCGTGGTCTCATTTTACATGATGATAACGCGTGGCCGCATAGAGCCGGAATTGTTAACGGATTTCTGGCCAAAAATCGTGTTGAACCATATCGAAATCCACCGTATTCTCCAGATCTAAGTCCGTGTGACTTCTTTTTGTTTACAAAACTAAAAATCAACTACGTGGAATTTGATTCGACGACGACAATGCAATGCTGAGTGCGTTAGAACAAGCCATTGGCAGCCTCACAAAGGATGATTTCAAAAACTGCTTTGATGACTGGTCTATCCGAATGCACAAGTGCGTTGATGCTGATGGACAGTACTTTGAAAAACTACATTAGAACCAGTCTTTGAATGTTAGTCAAAAAGGCCTTTGGAAAAAACTTTTAGGGTGCCCCTTGTATATGTTTTTGTTATTGTCACGTGTTCGCACTCTGTGACACTAAATTCTGGACAAATGTTTTTATTTGTACATATAAGAAGGACGAGAAAGAGAGCAGTAAAAAATAGACTGTTTTACGTATAGGCAGTCGTAGAATTGTTACTGTTCAACAATACTTTTCGGATAAATGATGACGTTTACCTAGAACGACAAGATTTGTTTTTTCTACTTGTAAGTCAAGATTCTTATTTATTTTAGATCTTACGAGGAAAGGACACCAACTGTCTAATCACTTTTAGGCTAAGATTCACTGGACAATATCTAGTCGGGTGTGCTGAATCCGAATATGACACTGGTTTTTGCTGCTAGGCCTTTGTAGACTGAGATTTCTAGAAAAACGGTTTTCCAAAAACTCTAGAGAATAACTAAAAGGTTTCTTAATGAGGTGCAATTGTAGCCCTAAAATTTCTGATTAAAGTGAGACATCTACCAGCTCTACATGACGTTTCTTTGCAAAGTTATAGAGTTTACAAGAATAGCCCTAAATGTTCATTGGCACCACAGAGCTACAGAAAGAAAAAGGAAAAAGGAATTTAGGGGCACTAAGATAGATGAAACCCATTATATTGGCCAAGTATTTCGACTATTGACCTATGTGGACATATTTTTGAAAGACTTATTTATAGCTAATTCTGCACATTTTTCCTTTTTCTTTCTGTAGCTCTGTGGAGCCAATGAACATTTAGGGCTTTTCTTGTAAACTCTATAACTTTGCAAAGAAACGTCATGTAGAGCTGGTAGATGTCTCACTTTAATCAGAAATTTTCGGGCTACAATTGTATCTCATTAAGAAAGCTTTTAGTTATTCTCTAGAGTTTTGGAAAACTGGTTTTCTAGAAATCTCAGTCTACAAAGGCCTAGCAGCAAAAACCAGTGCCATATTCGGATTCAGCACACACGATTACCTATTGTCCAGTGAGTCTTAGCATAAAAGCGATTAGACAGTTGGTATCCTTTCCTCGTTAGTGCTTTTTTACTATGCAATGGCGATAAACTCGTTTATATGACTGTTACATCATCGTATTTCATAGAAACCCAAGAGGGGCGTTACGACTCATGAGCACTACTGCTGCTAGTACAACTAAAGCATCATATATGGTTATAGTTACTAAAAAGATAAACTAATCTGAATAATATGATGATCAATAAAAGACTCAGTGAGATCGTTGAAGACGAAATAGAAATCAGCATACAAGTAGGAAGTAGATTATCGTCTGTATATCAAAAGGAAGTCATTATGAAATTCATACAAAAAGTATTAATGTTTTAACATGGGATTAGATTAACAATTCCAAGTCGTGTGACTTGATTATTGCGTCACATTTTGTGTTTAGTAAAACTCTGTTAAACAAAGTAGCGTTGGTCTCTGCTTTTGCATCACTTGAGCACCGCAGATACATACTGACAAAAGTATGTCAACTTTTCTGGTAAGCTACCGATGTATACAGCAACAGAAGAATTATCTGAGCTACTATAGTCGATTGGGGAGCACTGTCTGGTTTATAATTTCTGTGAACACATACTTTCAATTTATGTTTTATAAGTTCAAGAAACGACGTCAACCAATAGTCTTTGTTCAATCTCCACTCCACATGAAACTATTGAAATCAAGAGTTTTTTCATGTCTTCTAACGTTGCTAATGGATTCATCAATGTGAATTTGAGATAATTGGTTCCATTAACGACAGTTTGACCTACTACGGCTTTACCCTTTAATAAGAGTTCTAATTTAATTGATCTGTTTATATCATTTTCCCATTCTGCTTTTGGAATTTTTTCGTTTCGAAAACCGGAAACATACCGAAAGACAATAGTATTTATGTTGGGCTTTGCTGCAAGTTCAAATTTTGGATTATCTTCTATCATGATTGCTGTTTGTTCTGCCAAATATATCGTATAATCTATGAACTCCGCCATTTTCTTTCTGCCCAACATTTGAAGAGTAAGAAATGGTTTTAGAACATCAAACCTTCTAGTAGTCTGAATAGATTTGTAAACTAGATCTATTATTCCAAGTTTACGGTTACTTTCGGGATTTAAATACTCAGCATTTAGATTCATTAGCATGAATCGACTTTTCTCTTTCAAAAGAAAAGCACTGCACGAAATCGGCTGAAAGAGCAGCTTATGGAAATCAACTGTAATTGAATCAGCTCTTTCAATCCCGCTTAGTTTTGAACAATGCTGATCACTAAGAATTAATGCCCCTCCATATGCAGCATCCACATGAAGCCAAATGTCATGTTCTTCACATAATTCTGCTAATTCTTTAAGGGAATCAATACTACCAAAATCTGTTGTCCCAGCTGTTGCTGAAATACAAATAGGCAATAAGCCTTCGTTTTTTAAACGATTTACAGTTTCGCGTAGAGCTCCTACTCGAATTCTAAAGTCTTCATCTGTTTCTATGTGAACTACTGCATTCTGGCCAAGCCCGAGAATCGATGCAGATTGCATAATACTAAAATGTACTGCTTCAGAACAAATAATTCGAAATCTGGATGCTTCTACAGGTAAACCTTGATTTTGTATATTCCATTGTAAATTTTTAGAACAGTAATAATCACGAGCCAACATAATACCCATGAAATTGGATTGAGTTCCACCACTGGTAAAGATACCATCTGCCTCATCATTATATCCGAATAACTTACAAAGTTGCTCAGAAAAGCATTGTTCCAACATAGATGCTCCTGGTGCCTGATCCCACGAATCCATAGATTGATTAGTTGCACTAATGATCATTTCTGCAATTAATGATGGTAAAAGGACCGGACAATGCAGATGTGCCAGACAATGTTCATGTGTTATAGAAAGCGTATTTTTCATAACAAACTCCTGTATAAGTTTCATAGCCCGTTCCATAGAGCTTGACTCTTCAGGTACGTAATCCAGTTTCTTAAAAGCTACCAGTTGTTCGTGTGGCGACAAACCCATGTAAGGCTGAGTCATATTTTCAAAAAATCCAATAATTATCTTTACGCCATGTTCAACACTTTCTTTGTAGGCTGTTGTGGATTCCAAAGATTTATTCAAAAAATATGAAGTAAAATTCGGTTCAGTAAATCGTTTGTCCATCTGCAATCGACGAAAGAATTATTCGAACAATGAAAGAAAAAGCTTTCTCCGTAACCAAACGCAGAGATCACGAATTTAGTATAAGAAAGACCGCAGGCTAACCTTTACGGGTATGCCAAAAAATGTTAAAAAAAATATTAGACGGCTAATATTAAAAGTCAATTAAATATTTTTCTTGTCGTAAGATAGAAAAATACTTAATTATTTTTCAGAAAAAAACAAATATTGAAGCTGGCGATGATGTTAATATTACAGCAGTTTTTGGTCAGATAGAAAAATATTTAATTATTTTAAAATAAAGGAAGAATATTTAAGTAAAGAAAATATTGAACAGACTAATATTTAAATAAGATGGAAAAATATTTAACTGATATTTAATATTAGTCGTTTAACATTTTTCTTTTTAACATTAGTCTATAGACCGAACCTTTACGTACTGTAAGTACGCGATTCTTATTTGACAGTCTCTCTGGGTTTGTAATGCTTTTTAGCCAAGAACATATCTAGATCTGGGCGTGCATCAATATAATATATTGGGCCCCCATATTTTGTATACTCAATATATTGAGTCACTTGAGTTAAGCCTACTTTTAAAGTACAGACGCACACTGTATATCCCCATCGGGATTTATGCTTCCTCACTGTTTCATGAATGTAAGTTATATTAAGGCTAAAAAGTTGGAATCGAGTGTATTGTGGAAACAATATTATTGGATATCCAATAATATTGTAGAATATCTTCAATAATGATTAGTATTGATGCATGCCTATCTAGATCATCGTCTTTTCATTCCTATTCTCATGCTGAGAAAGGTTTTTACGAGATTCGAAGAGCGCGTTCGAAAAAATAAAATATTGATTATCCGACGAAAGAACTGTTTCAAAAAGTTTTATTTTTAAGAAATGTTCTAAAACTTTTAATACAAATCAATTTCAACTGTATTTGGAAAATCCGCTAGTTCAACGGCGTTTACACAAAATTGTAGGTTAACAGTTTTTACTAGAATTCTGGAATTCTAGGCACCCCTGAGATTAAATAATTAATTGAAAAACCAATCAAGTTCATGAAGCAGACTGTATGTATATTAATATTATTTTATTTGCGTTTGATACTTAACTAATTAGACCAAATCGTGATCTTCACAAGTGTGTACAAACCAAAAACAAGAAAATGTCTGAATACTAATAATTTTGTATTAGATCCAGTTGGATATTAAATACACTATCTATAATTCTTTTTTCAGAGTCTGTCCAGTTTCTCCAAAGTCCTGTTGCAATATGAAAAAATGAGGACGTACATTAGTCATCGTGAATTACAGTGCAAATGCATGCAGATATAGTATAATAGCTAGGGTGGAAAATGATTGTGGGTGACAAAAGTTTGATAATAGAACTTTTATAGAATAGAACTTATTTTAGAAGAAATAAGTTTCGATACTTTTACAAAAATATATATTGTTTTAGTTGTACGTGTATTTGATTATTAGAGGGTGCTATAGTGTAGGGTTTGTTATGTTTGTTACTTGTAGTGGAAACGCAGCTGAGGGCATTTTTATGATGAAACACGCATTTTGATTTGATTAGCTAAGACATAAGGTATATTTGTTTTGATACTCCGATGTGAGGTGCTGAAATGGAGATACATGCGACTTTTACATGTTTTATAAAAAAGCTTTGTAAGGATGTAATTATCGGTTTTATGGATGGTAACACCGGGCTAATTGTCGGTATGGAAACTGTAATCCATCTTACACAGGATAAATAGATTACCTAATACATTATCTGTTCTTCCATTCTATCAGATGAGAACAATAGATCGTATAATTCACGAAACGATTTCAATTCATTAATAAGTTTCGACGTACATTAAATACTTAAAAAATGTTTCCATAGAATAGAAAGATTTCAAAGAAGCGACAAAATTATAAGTATTCAGACATGTTCTTGTTTTTCTTTTGTACACACTTTTTGATCGAATTACTGAAGAACATAGTATCAGACGAAAGTAAAATTATTATCAGCAATACTGAACACCTTAGAATACAATACGAACACCTTAGAACCAAGATCTTGACATCTTGAATTTTTTCGGAAAGATCTTGGCACGATCCTTGATACAAGATGTCAAGATATTTTTGTTCCCAAGATCTTACCCATGATCTTGGATACAAAATCCTAAAAATTATCTTGTACTCAGATCTTGAGTAAAAATTGGATTGCAACGAAGATTATACTTCAAGATCTTTGAGTAACCATTGTTTACCTTTCGCCGCTTTATTTTGCCGATGTCATTCTATATATGAACATGTTATTTTGAGTCTGATGTTACTCTGTTTTCGTTAAGAGCTAAGTCGAAACTTCATGAGGAAGGCATCAGGGAACGTTCATCTTAGCGGATGAAATGTTCACCGTCGAACGGTGAACATTTCTTGCTTCCGAACACGTTTAAAAAAATACAAAGAAAAGAGTTATTTACGAAATATGACGATTTTTAAAATGTTCAAGATCTTGGATACAAGATTTTGAAATATCTGTACTCATGTGCAAGATCTCGGATAGAAAAATGTCTTGAGATCTTGTATCCATTTTTTCAAGATCTAGTGTCAAATCTTAACGTAACTTGGGCAAGATCTTGGTTCCAGGATGTTCGACTAGGGTAGGCTACGAAATAAGAGATTTCATCAGTCAGTCGGGTCTCATATTCTGAATAGAATAGCTATCCCGATTGGTCTATAGTGTATATCCAGAACTGGACTTATATTTCAATCGGGATATATATCTCGTTCAAGATATCGGTGTATTTCGATCAAGCTTTGTTATCAAACATGTTAAAATGCCTATTTAAAATACATGTAGTCAGCCATTGATCGTATTAAGTAAGATTTAAAAGTATCAGTTAGTAAATTTAGATAAAAACATGTGGAATGTTGATTCAAGAATATTAGTATTCTAAACTACGCTCTTAAGACTTTCTAATATGTTCAAAAATTCCAGTACAGTACGTTTCTCGTAATTAGGAATAGCCTATTCCTAATAGGTTCAGGAATTTTATGCCTGTTAAGCCGTTTAGTAAGGTACTAGGTTTCATTCGCAAACGACATAGTTTCTTTCCATTTTTTCCTAATAATTGCTTTTGTCGGAATATATTTAATACTAATTTTGAGACCTATTTATCGTAAATTACTGCAACTAAGACTTGTAACACATCGCGTCACTCCTTGTGCAAATTATTGGCACATTTTGGCCGATGATGCTGGCTTTTAGGCATTAGAGAATTTATTAATTATATACAACAGAGGCTATGAAGGAAGTATTTAACTAGACTTAATAGCAGTAATGTTTTTCTTTCTTACTTGAATATGATAGACCAAAGGACGACTGTGTTTTGTCATCAATTGACTTCTTATTTCGTAAGCTTTGCTCTACGACAGAGAGCGACAAAACTGTTTATGCAGTCTATATCAACATGTTGATAGAACCTTTGTACTGTACGTTGCCATCATCTGGTATTTGGAGGTCCTCGTGCAGTTTTAAAGTGCTGTATCCGATGGTGCTTTTGAGCTTCAGTAATCAATCTGTATTTTTTCCCCAAAACGAAATTTTTATAAAAAAATGAAAAGCAGGATATATTTCTAGCTCAGAATATGCGAGTTTTCAGCGGACTTTTACGTAGTACCCTGAGCAATGCATTATAACCGACCCCCATGAAATCGGAATCGATTTTGAATCCTCTCGAATAGCATTGTCCACCTTTTATTTTGATGTTAAAGGGGGAGGGGTTGTAAAGGATACTTCGAGGTATATGTCCTGCAGTTTTCTCGGCTTACTAACATTATTTGGCTGAGAAAAAAATTAATTACTTTAAAAAATATTGTTAAGTTTTTGAACAAGGGACTATTATTAAAGAATTCCTGTCCATTCTCCATTCACCATAAAAACTTGGTTCCTGTCTAGATCGATAGAGAAATATGTAGAGAATATTTACTACGAGAAAATATGTCAAAATTTTCGTTCTTTCCTTTCTGTTATTGACTAATTAGCACTAATTAAGGTTAATTTAGCCTACTCTATCAGCTTACAGTCCCATTTGCAAAATAATGACTCAACAAAAGAATTTAAGCTATACCTCACCTGACAGAGAATTTCACGAGCTACAATATTGGCTAGCTTAGGAGTTTTTGAATCCAATTTATCCATTAGAATTTATTCAAAATAGTCTCGTGCTCAAAAATTTAACAATATTTTTTTAAGTAATTAATTTTTTTTCTCAGCCAAACAATGTCCATAAGCCGAAAAAACTTCAGAACATATACTCTGAAGTGTCCTCTACAAACTGGGAAAATTTAACAAAAAAATTCAAAACTATAAAATTTCTCTAACTTTTAGCTAAGCGAAAATATTTTCACAACACCTTGAACCAAATTTCGCTCAAAGGAAGCATTTTCAAGGGAAAGTGCGGGTACGAAAGTTGTTCAGAATCAGATTCCCTGCAATATGAACGAAGAATTTTTCAAAATTCGTTAAACCGGACTTTTAAATTAAATTTTACTAAATTCTAAAATTTTAAAAATCGTATTTTTCAATTTAAGAATCGAGTTTAATGAATTTTGAAAAATCTTTCGTTCATATCCCAGGAATTTGATTCTAAACAACTTTCGTACCCGCACTTTTCCTTGAAAATGCTTCCTTCGTGCGAAATTTGGTTCAAGGTGTTTTTAAAAATACTTCTTGCTTCAAAATGCCATCAGGCAGGTCAAAGCGGAATAACTCAGTCAAAGCTTGACCGAATTTTTTGTAGATACATCTTGATGTCTTCTATCTATTAACATCAAAATCGAGGTTATATATAGAAATTATTCGAAATCAAGAATAATTTCCCCCCCTTCCTTAAGTTGGATCCAGAAAAATGATTGATTGATTATACAGATCGACCGGGTTATACAAAATATTCCGATCGGACTTTGAAGGTCAATCGGGATGTCTTACAGGCCGATCGGGAT